CCCCCCCGACACCCGACCCCCGGCACTGGTGACCGCCACCCCGGGGAGGGGGGGGGAGGACCCCCTGTTTCTCAAAAATCAATAAATCGCCAGGGGCTGCCAGGCGGCGATGCGCATCCCCCAGTATTTTTTTTTTTTTTTTTTTTTTGGAAAGCCGGGGCTGGGGTTGCCGACCCCCGACCCCCGACCCCCGGGACCCCCGCCGGGGCCGTGGGTCCGGGGGTCGACAATCCTGCCCGTGGCACCTTCGACCCTTAGGCTGGAGTATCCCGGTGGACAGGGCAAATAAGCTCTGCGCGGGGGGTGATTCCTTCCGCGAGGAGTCTAGGACCTAAGATGTCCTAGACAAGGACCTTGAATCCAGGCCTAGGACCAACGTCCGACTAAGAAAATTTTAAGAAGTTAAAACGGTAAGGGAAGAAAGTCTCCTTTCCTCTCTCAATCTCAGTCCCAGTTAAACCCTTAAGCGTGGGCTCTTCAAGGCATGCGAATACTCAAATATAGGGGAATAAATATGTGGCAGTCACTTCTCACAATCACAGTGGGACTCCTCTCAGCCATGCATATGCATGTGATCGCAGACAATTAAATTCAAAGTCCGAACTACAAAACATACATGCAATCACATCAAAGAACCAACCAAAAGTCCACACACTACACGGGTCAACTTCAGTCATCCTCTATACTCATATCCCATTCTTTAGCCACAACAAAAAAAATTCTCAGATATAAATAATCATTCCATGTTAAATAATCATCCCATGTTAAATAATCATTCCAAAAAACATTCTCGGAATTAAATATTTATATCCCTAATAAAATTACATTCTAAATTTTAAATTTTCATTCCATCTTAAAAAACGTCATTCCAATTAAAAAAAAAAATCGTCTTACTTGAAAACTTTTCTTCCAAGAATTGGGTATCCTTTTTTTTTATAACTGGATGGAAGAGATGGAATGAAAGTCTAGATGAGTTCGTGAAATATTTTAATCTACGTTGCATAGAGTACACGTACGGGGTCTTTCCGTACGAAACGTACAGGTAATATCTGTACGGGATTTGTACAGGAACCGGTACGGAAACCTGTACGTCTTGTAAGCCCCCGTACGGAAAAGCAAAAAAAAAAAAAAAAAAAAAAAAAAAAAAAA